AGAGCTGTGTTAGTTTTCTTAAACTGCTGAGGGATTTTGTTTATGGAAACCAGTGATGAGAAAACTATGGAGGCTGCCATTACTGACCTCAATGTTTGAGAAAGGTAGTGGCTTGGATGTCACACTGATCTTACTGCTTAAATGCTCCGAGACACTGGAGAAGAAGGTTGTTTTAAACCTACTGATAGTCAACTTATAGTCAAATATAGGGGGGTCTGAGTGTGGCCCCTGACATGCCCAGAGGGTGTTGCCACAGTTAAACTTTTGCACTTGTGCTATTATTATATATTAGGACGGTAGTACTAGGTTAGTACTATTAAAGTGTTCCACCTTTATTTTGGACAAATGCTCTTCTAAAATGCAGCTTTCTGAGGAGTTTTCTCTACCAACTCCCTTCTTGATTGGCTGTGTGAGGAGTTCTCTCCTCCAACTCCTTTGATGATTGGCTGTCTGAGGAGTTCTGTCCTCCAACTCCTTTCGTGATTGGCTGTGTGAGGACTTCTCTCCTCCAACTCCTTTGATGATAGGCACTGTGAGGAGTTCTCTCCTCCAACTTTCCTGATTGGCTGTATGAGGAGTTCTCTCCTCCAACTCTTTTGATGATCGGTTGTGTTTGGAGTTCTCTCCTCCAACTCCTTTCCTTATTGGCTGTTTGAGGAGTTCTCTCCTCCAACTCCGTTGATGATTGGCTGTGTGAGGAGTTCTTTCCTCCAACTCGTTTCCTGATTGGCTGTATGAGGAGTTCTCTCCTCCAACTCTTTTGATGATCGGTTGTGTTTGGAGTTCTCTCCTCCAACTCCTTTCCTTATTGGCTGTGTGAGGAATTCTCTCCTCCAACTCCGTTGATGATTGGCTGTGTGAGGAGTTCTCTCCTCCAACTCCTTTGACAACTCCGTTGATGATTGGCTGTGTGAGGAGTTCTCTCCTCCAACTCCTTTGATGATTGGCTGTGTGAGGAATTCTCTCCTCCAACTCCTTTGATGATTGGCTGTGTGAGGAGTTCTCTCCACCAACTCCTTTGATGATTGGCTGTGTGAGGAGTTCTCTCCACCAACTCCTTTGATGAGGAGTGAGGAGTTCTTTCCTCCAATTCCTTTCCTGATTGGCTGTGTGACATAGGGCAATGGAGAAGTTTTAATTTGGGAGAACTTTGTCAGCACAACTAAATGTGTTCTTTGCAGGATGACTTCATTTCAGTTTTTCAAAACAGTGACAGGGCCACTTTAAATGCTCATTCACACCATTTGCGGTGACTGGCACTTTTTTTATTCAACTGATCAATGCCAGTCACTGCTAGAGCACATAGAAAACAACTTTTTCCTATGTGCCCAGTTCACCGCAACATGGGTGTGATGTGCGATGTGAAAAATGCAGACATACAGCATTTTTTACAACACACTGGATCTCATCACAGTCTGTGCAACGCAGTTCAGCACACCTACATGTGAACTCTTCACCCCACCTGAAAAAACTGTGTCATTAAAGAGACGCTGGTAACTTGGCTATGGAGAGTAAAGTGACAGTGTCTCTACAAAGGGGCCTCCCAGACCCCTTATACTCACCTTGTCTGCACAAGGGATAACAGTGACCTCGTTCACTCGGTCATGTGACAGTATTCGTGTACTAGGCCTGAGTACTGTTCCAGGGTAGAAGATCACATGCTCCCCCATACCAGCAGGCAGGAAACCGTGGCAAGGGAGCGTTGGTTAGTATAAGTGGGTCCGGTGGGATGGGGGACCATGCACAGACACTGTACTTGGCCCTGCACGACTGTTCTTTGGAATGAATCCAAAAAGAGGTCCCAGCAATAGAAGGGTGAAGAGGAGACCCAGGACATACTAATCTGTTGTAGTTATCTTTTCTTTGTGTCCTATACTCCAGACATGGACTCTCTATTAGTACAAGACGTTTTCTTTTCTGTTTTTTTCTCTTTAGTTTTTAAAAAAAGGAATCCCCTTTTACCTCCGTGGTCATGTGACGTGCTGGATCCGAGTCTTCTCTCTTTCTCATTGCACAGTGGGAGGGGCCTTCTTCATGTGCCCATATTACTTCTTAGTTGACGTGGTCACTTCCTACTGGCTGTCCAGAGGCGTGGTGACATCACAAAACAAGGAACTGGTGGAAGTAGCATGGAGTACAGCTCTGGCTCTCTGGTCTTCTCTCCCAAAAAAGGCAATGGAGTGGGACACATGACAACTTAGGTGAAAAAACATTGAGGACTTGGGCTCCATTAACACCAGATCTGTTGCGTTGCCATTCCCTTTTCAGCGGATGCTGGCGCAAGGGCACCGAAAAATGTATGGGTGTGACACTGCTGTGATCCGTTGCGTTCTGTTGCAGGGCGATGAAAAAAAGTAGAACATCCCAACCTGAGTGAAACTCTCTCGAAAGTACACTCCCAATGCGAATACGAGAGAGTAATCTCCTGTAGAACCCAGTCCCAAAATAAATTCCAACATCTGTGGGGAGTATGGTTGAAATATTATGGGCCCAAGCTGTAGAGAGCTAGCTCCAACGCCAGTCCACAATAAAGAAGATATGTTTCTTACATCCTGATTTCTTTCTTTCCTTAGTCCCTCCTCCTTCTAATGGACACACAGAAATGTGATGTCTATTACTCCTACCTTGTTTTCCATTTCTTTACTTTTCCTCTTTGGGTTATTCTTATGTTGTTAACTTAAAAAGGTCTAAGTAAATGTCCCATACCTACCCAAACTGCCTGGCACGGTACATTAATCGGAAATGAGCATTGTTATTGAAATTATTGAATGTATGGATAAGCCTTTTCTGTTATGTAAAATGCCAGAAATGTGAGATTAATATGATACCTATTTGATTATTGTTGTCATTTATGATTGACCTGTTTCTCAATAAACAATTAGTGTTAAAAAAAAAGTAGAACATGCTCTACTTTTTAAGGGGAAGATGACCTAACAGAACTAGGGATGCACCAATACCGGTATTTCGATATCCAGTATGAGTACCGATATATTTTTTCCGGTACTCGCCGATACCGAATACCGATACCGGAAGTCCCATACAGAAAGCCAGGCAGCCTGGAATGACTCGCCACCTGGCTTCCTGATTAGCAGGGAAGCCGGGCGGCATGTAAAGACTCTTAACCTGGTTTCCCGATTATCAGGGAAGCTGTCCCCATAATGAAAAAGCATGGAGGCGACTTTCTGGCCAATCAGGAAGCCAGGTGCCGAACCCAGAAAAAAATAAGCAAACACATTTTCTGTTCGCCAAAAGTCATGTGGAACCTATGGAATAACACTAAATTGAGTCCCTCCTCACATCAGAGACCCCTCTTTCACATTACAGTGCCCCTTCACATAAGAGCCCAGGTAAAGGTTCACATCATATTCAGTGTGTATCCCTTTCATATCAGAGTCCTTGGTACTCCCTTCATATCAGAGTCCTTAGTACCCCCTTCATATCAGAGTCATTAGTACCCCCTTCATATCATAGTCCTTAGTGCCCCCTTCATATCAAAGTCCTTGGTACCCCCTTCATATCAGAGACCTTAGTACCCCCTTCATATCAGAGTCCTTGGTACCCTCTTCATATCATAGTCCTTAGTGCCCCCTTCATATCAGAGTCCTTAGTACCCCCTTCATATCAGGGTCCTTGGTTACCCCCTTCATATCAGAGTCCTTGGTACCCCTTTAATATCAGGGTCCTTGATACCCCCTTCATATCAGATTCCTTGGTACCACTTTCATATTAGAATCCTTGGTACCCCCTTCATATCAGAGTCCTTAATACCCCCTTCACATCATAGTCCTTAATATCCACTTCATTACATAGTCCTTAATATTCACTTCATTACATAGTCCTTGGTACCCCCTTCATATCAGGGTCCTTGGTGCCCCTTTCATATCAGAGTCCTTGGTACACCTTTCATATCAGTCCTTGGTACCCACTTCATATCTGAGTTCTTGGTACTCCCTTCATATCAGGGTTCTTAGTACCCCCTTCATATCAGAGTCCTTGGTACCCCTTTCATATCAGAGTCCTTGGTACTCCCTTCATATCAGGGTTCTTAGTACCCCCTTCATATCAGGGTCCAGGTGCTTTCAGGTGTGTTCAGTTTGCAAGCGTTTTTGATCCATTCACTCACGATCCGATGCAGCTAAAAGCAGTACTTTTCTGGCTGCATCGGAACGGACTAGTCTGGTGTGAACAGAACACCAGAATCTCATAGGAAAGCATTGTGCAGCGTTTTTGATGCCGCTCAAAAATGGAATGGACTGCATCTGGTGTGAATGGGCTCGTCATATCAGGGTCCTTAGTACCCCCTTCATATCAGAGTCCTTAGTACCCCATTCATTTTAGAGTCCTTAGTACCCCCTTCATTTCAGAGTCCTTAGTACCCCCTTCATATCAGGGTCCTTAGTACCCCCTTCATTTCAGAGTCCTTAGTACCCCCTTCATATCAGGGTCCTTAGTACACTCTTCATATCAGAGTCCTTAGCACCCCCTTCATATCATATTCCATAGAAAGAGGGGAGACAGAGAGAGGAGGAGAAAAGGTAGAGAGGGAAGGAGGAAAGAGAGGAGAGATGAAGCAGAGCTGAAGTAACTTTCATGTTTATAGTTTCCCAATTCCCAGTTCCTCCATTACACAGTTCTAGTTAGCGGTATGCAATGAGCTCCCACTAGGGGGCGCACAGCTGTACTCTTCGATTGAATGTATCGGTGACCTTTCGTCGCCATTATCCCCTGCCGTGCTGTGTGTGTTATTACATTTCTGTCTAACAGAACACAAACCAAATCCCACTATATTTCCGTGTCACTCTGACAATAAAGCCGCCCCCTACCCGCACCCGTCCACACAGACAGCTCACAGCCTGTCCAGCCTACTCTCTCCTCCCACCATCAAGCAGCCCTTCCCCCACACAGGGGCTTTAAACACGTGGTTCCCGGGTGAGGAGAGGTAGTTGTCATAGCGATGGTGTCCCCGCCTCCTCTTTCATTAGTGGCGGAGATAAGCAAGTGGGAGGAGATTCAGCGCTCTAGTGACGTCACGGATGTGTTCTGCAGCTGCTGCAGGGACCGGTGTCAGGGAGCGAACCGGGCAGGTAACATCAGCCGGGATCTCAGGCACGGGGAAGGAGGGGGTGTCCGGAAACGCGATCAGTGTCAGAGGGCGGTGTCCTAGCACAGGGTGGTCATCACATCATGACAGCCAGGGCAGAGTACAGTGCAGGGCACCGGTGTGCCTGATGCTCAGAGGGTATGGATTTTAAAATGACAGATCCATTACTGCGATACAATATATTGGAGTCGGTGGGATTTCTAGTGCTGTGCTGTACCAGGGTATGATCATGATTGGGCATGGCTCACTCCATGTCATATGTTTCTGCTTTTATGGCTTTGCAGAGTTCATAAACTGGAATGGCATTGCCTTGCCTAGTTTCGGTCTAGGGAGAAGTAAAGCAGAAGAAATAGTAAAGATCCATTGTGTCCAAAGTGTATATACAGTATAGAATGTGTCTGTGATTGTAAATTGCAATCTATGGGGCTGACCTAGATAAGAAGTATCATAGAAGTACAGTACGGGGGAATTAATACTCATACTCAGGGTGTATGTTGGGGTATTTGGCCTGATATTTGGGTATATATATGTGTTCCAATAAAAGAGGAGGAAGTAGGTGTTGGAGTGATAGTGACAGGTGTCAGTCATGGTTCCTGTTTATGTCAGTGATTGACAGGTGAGATGGCTGGTCAGTACTAGGATCCTGCAGATTCTTCCTCATCGCCGGGACCATGGGGGCACTTACAAGCCGGCAACACGCAGGAGTGGAAGAGGTGGACATGCCTTCAAATTCCATCTACAGATACCCCCCCAAATCTGGTGAGTGCCGACTACAATTCTTATATATCACATAAGAGCTGAACTCCAGGTACAAAATGCAATTATACTCAGTAGCCTCGAAGGATATAATTGCACCTTGTGAGCGCCACATGCCTTTTCAAGGCCAGATATATCCTTGTAAAAGTAGCAGTGACATCATCACTGGGCTGCTCGTAGCCTGAGCAGAACTGTGGGAGGGACCCAGCAGTCCCCACCCACTACAGGAGAGGGCAGATACAAGACCAGTCACCCTACACAAGGAGAGAGAGCAACAGTGACTGGTCTTTATTACAGGAAGCTCCTGCACAGAGGCAAAGTTTCACACTGGATCACTGCACAGATCTGGAAGAAATACACAAAGCGCCCCAAGATTCCAGTAACAATACACACAACAATATTTGCTTATGTCAGAGTTCAGCTTTAAGACTTTAGGAGGGATTCACAAAGCTTTACACAAGTACAAGGATCTTCATTTTCAGCCATGTGACCAATGACAGTCATTAACTGTCACTTTTTTTTTTCCAAATAGGGATCCTTGTCCTGGTGTAGACTTTGTGAGTTGCATCTTTTGTAGAGATCATGTGCAAGAATTGAGAATCATTCATGAATGTAAAATGCCAAATATCTGCTTAGTCCTAACATAATATATCTAGTGAAAATATTGTGTCCTTCCCATGTCACACTTTCCGTAAAGAAACGTTTGCCTTCCATTATTTAGAATGCCATCTTCCGGGTCTATCTGACATGTTATATTAAAATATGTATTTCACCTTTTAAGTTGCATTAGTGAAATAAATGAACTTTGCACGATATTCTAATTATTCGAGTTTCACCTGTATATCTGTGTATGGAAGAACCTTAGATGATCCCCTCTGTGCTTGCAATGGCTGTGCAGCCGAGTACCGTCTCTTGTGACTGCAGTGTCCTTGAATACGATTACATAAAGAAAGTTTGCACTGGATAGTTAGTCTACGGTCCCCCTCCACACCATCTTCAGATCAGAGCGGCTTTGGTAGGTGATTGAACAAGATCGATTTATATTTAAGCTTTGGGGTCTTTTAATTCATTCCCTATGTGCTTCGTTCTTAGCCAGCGTCATTATTCATAAATCACCGTCAAGTTTAACTCGGCAACGTGTAGTATGTCTGCAAAGCTTTTATTACATTATATATATTATATAATTTGTTTGTTGGGAGCAGTCTTGTATATCCCCAAGCCTCTGCTTCTAACATGCCGCACAGATCCCAAAGGGTCATATTGTAGAGTAGTGGAGGTGGGACTTAACATAATAGGTGGGGTTTGCCCATATATGGTTGCATTGGGGCGGGGTTTTAAAGGGAGATTAAGGCTGGCTAACGGCGCGGTCCCCCCCACTCCCCCCGGGCTACTGTATTAGCTGATTAGCTGCAGTCACTATATTCTGACTGTTGGAAAATAATTTGTCCGATGTAAAGGTTCTGGCTAGGCTGGTCTAAATTCAGTTGAGTCAGCAGGACACGACCACCTTTCTTTCACAATATTTGTATTCATTTTTTATAAGCATCCAATGAACAGAAGCAGGTAGATGGACTAATACGCTGACGCAGCAGTCGTTAACAGTCCAGTAACAAGTGTGCCGTAGCCAATGCATTCCAAGAAGACCAAGTATGATGCGGATACAGAACGCAGGGAAGGGAAGGCAATGTTGGCGTTGAGACTGGGTACGCATGGGACAAAACTGGCACCTATAATATACGCCTCTCAGCTGCTGTGGTTATCACAGGACCTTGGAAATGGCCCCGGAGAATATTCGCCTACTAACCTGCGTTAAACAAGAAAGCAATAGGTGCATTTCCTAGTCCTAGGCCCCAGTCTGTGTTAGTTTGCGCGGTCCTACATTCCTGCTTCTCAGGTTACTGACTTCAGTTTGTATTTGACAATTCGGGTTCACTGCCCACCCTGACCTGTGGCCTGTCCCTGTTTCTAAAACTACCTGTCAACTTTGTACCATGCTCTGGTTCCCAACCTCTGGTCAGGTGCCATATGCACAGGCGTGCCCAAGGGCCACAACCTTCCAGTAAAATCCATCACCCGTTGTGGGGTGCTCTGGCGAAGATCTGGTGGCATGTACCCTTTCCAACATGCATATAGCACAGAGAGTCCACTATCCATTGTGGTCTCTGACACCTACCCTACGGCATAGGCAGCCTGGTGACCTGACTTTTCTCTATTGCAGTTGAAGCATTACAGCTAGGTGACCCCTTCCCCTAGCCTGTCATTGGTCAGTAGAGGAGCAGCTGCTCAAGGATAAGGTCACCTCAGCTTTTTTTGTTTATCAGGCTGGAGTTCAGCTTTAAGTTCCCAATGTATAATACAATAAATATATTGAAATCATTGGAATGACAAACCAAAGTCCCAAATTCTATCTATCTATCTATCTATCTTTCTATCTATCATCTAGTGTGTAATTCATTTTTAATTGCTCTATCACCCTTCTGAATCCGATCTTATGGATGGAATTCTCGTTTAATATCGTAATCCTGCATTCCAGCATTCCCGTCTTCACGCATCTTCGTGGGCGCAGGCATGTGGTTGCAGAAATAGTAGCGTCTGACAGTAGATGTGATGGAGGGGAGATGCTAGAAGAGAGCAGCACAGCAGTGTGTCTGCATACTGTGTGACTGCATTAGCCTACCGCATCAGCCCTGCAGAGCCTCGTACAGGGGCAGGAGTCTCCGCAGCGCCGTTGTCATTTAATCAGCGTCTGCTGAGCACAGGCTGTCATTTCACATGAGCCGTCAGTTCACTTTACTCTCCATGCACTGGCCAGGCACATACAGCATTTAAGATTTATGTCACGGAGGCTGTCGGCGACCCCGCACATGTGCGTTACTTGGATAGCATGTCCTGTCTATTAAAGGCCACAGCCCATGAGGCCTCGTGTTCTTCTTTATAAATTAGCGATGATGGTTACATAAAAAGAAAAAAAAAAAACACGCAGGTAATGTTAACGGCCTGTTTCAATATAATAAAGACGCGCTAAAAAAAGCCACGGTGGATAAGACCTCCTCAGCAAAGACCCTCATGGCGGACTCACGGCGCCGTCAGCCTGCTCAGGTCAGTTAGTGACGGTCGTTACATCCCCACCTCCTCTCAAGGCCTTAGCGCACCTCTACCTCCGCTGTTTAATAATGCAGACCATCCAGGAAGCAGTCGGCATGAATAATGCAATGTGCAGAGAAAGGCCTTGGATTTTTATGTGTGTTAAATTGTTTTATGCCGGCGATTAACCCCTTCCGCATGAAAGATCTGTTCTGGCCCAGGGTCGGCAGCGCAGGAAGAGGCTCGGCGGTCTGTGGTTACTTTACGAGTAATATAATCTGCATAAGTAGCACACTCATGGAGCAGGCGGTGAATTATGATTAATGCATTCTGGACGTTAGATGCCTGACAGGTCTTGCGGCATGGATTATTCATAAGAACTCTTTGTCAGCACTTCGTATTTTCCAAAATAACTTTTCTTCTCGGTGACTGTTCATGCATATATACCGGTATGTAGGAAAGTGCAGCTGGATGGAAAAAAAAACAACAAGCCGAGTGTTCAAGGATCTCGTTTTTCTGGTTTTTACCCAAACTTCGGGAGCAAGAACATGTGAAATGAATTGAATTTAAAGAGCAACTCCAGGAATGAACAAAGTTAACCCTTGCAGTGAGGCTACCCCCTCTCTGCAAGGGTTAACTGCTCGTTTTGGTGTAGGGGCTGGATAAAAGAAGATATACCTGATCCTCAATCAAGCCTGGCTGCTAGACCGGTCTCCACAGCCACTTCTACCCCGGCAATCTAGGGACCCGTGATGTCATCACATCTAATGGAGGTCCATTCACGTGCATTAGATGTGAAGATGCCTAGGGACATACACAGCCGAAGTGAAGGGAGAGAGAGGTGAGTGCTGAACGCCGAAGGATCAGGTGAGTATATCTTCTGTATTCCGGCCCCTAGACCAAAACAAGCAGTTAACCTTTGCAGTGCCGGTGTAGCCTCACTGCAAAGGTTCATTTTAATTCCTAGAGTTCTTCTGTAAGACCCCATTAACGCTTTGCCTGCATGACCGTGTGTCACCTTTTGTACGTGTTTTGCCCCGGTCAGCCTATTAATTTCAGTGGGCTGCTGCGTGCGCGATAGATGCGGCAAAGAAGCTCACACAGCTTTTTCAGCTGCGCGCTTCATACGTTTTTTGACCACGCTTTAGTGCACTGTGCGTGTTTTACCAGCCGCAGTTAAAGTGCAATTAGGAGGTAATGGCACCTTAAGTGTATAGCACGTTTTTAACATGTTGCTTGAATGCACACCAAAGCGCTAGCAGTGGTGCAGGTTCACACAACGCCAAAGTGTGAATGAAGCCTAAGGAGGACACGCTCGCCCTCTCTTTTTTCCTCTATCCCTTCTCACCTGTTATTTTGGACTCTCATCAGAAAACATTGTCACTTGCCCAGAGAATCCAGCGTTGGCCTGCTATGATCCGCTGCCACAGCCTGGGTTCCGCACCACCATCCTCTTCAGGCTCTTTCTTCTGGGTTCTGCAGCCGGCCTCCAAATCCGCCCACTGGCCACTGTGAGTCCCTATTTCTGCAGCCTCCTGAGATATGTGACAGAGATGTCCCAGGAGGCTGCGGGAGCAGGACAAGGCATTCATGTCTTAGTAAGAGTGGCAGGCCGGGCCAAAAGTAGGGGGTGGGGCCAGCCCACCAGTGGCCAGCCCAAAAATTAAAAAAAGTGTACAAATCTTACCTTCGTCTTTTCCTTTTATATTGTGTAGTGATTTCAGTAATGGTCATTCTAAATACAAAGACACTTTAAGGGATGTATTTTTAAACAATTCACAGAGCCATTCATCCTTTGAAACTCCATCTACATTTGTTGAGCTCAAATAGAGGCAAAAACAAATGTTTTCTTTCCAGGTCGAATGTATTATCAGGTTTATACTGCATTGATGACACAGAGGCCCAAAGAAAATAATCTTTTCTCTACTCTTTAGCTCCATCTACTGACCATATTGTGGTATTAACCTGATATTACCTGGAAAGAAAATATGCTGAAAACATTCATTTACATCATCCGCACAGAACAAATGTACATGCAACTTTGCAGGGCAAACGGTGCGGTGCACCGTAATAATTATTTAGAACTACACCCCAAGGTACAGTATAGGGATGCACCCATACTAGTAACGGTGCCGATACCGAGTATTTGTGTGAGTTCTCATACTCGCCCAAATGCTGCGATATCTTCCCTGATACCGGAACTTCTGGTCCGAGGAAAATTTCCTCTGAACGGCAGTGCCGTAGGGGAACATGGAGCTTTCAGGCCAATCAGCATGGAGCCGGCCTCCCGACCAATCCGGAAGGCGGTTCAATTCTTGCCACCCGGCTGCCTAATTAGTCAGTAAGCTGGCTCGATGCTGATTGGCTGGAAAGCTGGTTTCCCAGCCAATCACGATCGAGCTAGGCCAAACAACATGGAGCCAGCTTTCCGGGCAATCAGGAAGCTGGGCAGCATTTCATTACATGCCGCCCGGCTTCCTGATTGCCCGGGAAGCCGTCTCCATGCCAGCGGAAGCACTGGTATCGGTACTTGGTATTGGCGAGTTCCCAAAAGCAAAATATCGGTACTTGTAACCGATACCGAAAAACCGGTATCGGTGCATCCCTAGTACAGTATATATCTGGGCAAGATAAAAAACATATTCAGTACATTTCTGCAATGTATGCACATTTCTCCATGTTTTGTCTACATAAAAATGCTGTAGATCAGGGAAAAATGTTGCTCCTGCCTAGTGAGCTTCCTATAGCTGGCTGCCTCTGCTTCACTAAAATCCCAAGTAGTATTGTCAGCCCTGCCAGAGTTCTCCTCTGCACTACACCTCCGACTCTCCTCATCTCCATAAAATAAGGTGGAGATGTTCTGCTGCAGCAGAGGAGAGCTCAGACAGGGCAGCGTTGTCGGCTCACTAGATTTCTGGCAGGGTCAACATATTTTTCTGTATGTGTGTCATTTATGAATAAACACAACATGTTGAATTGTACATTGAGAATTGCAGAGAGGTATTGCATATAGTTTTTTTTCCCCGGCGTGCCCCACACATGAAAGAAGGACACAAGGAATTACAAAACGTAATCTAGCCGTACACTAGTAGATTTCCGAACGAAATCTCTTTCTTTACCACCCGATAATGTCATCATAGACTTGACGAATGTCGAACGAAATGTTATTTTTTTTTTTTTAAATTTAGATTTTTATTCGATTTTTTTTTTTCACATCAATACACAGAAAAAAAGCTATCAAACAAGTTACATACATTGCAACACGAAAGTCAACATTTATTGAATTTTTTAACATTGGATTTTGGAATGAATGGAGTTTCCTGAACGAAAACCACATTCACTGTTAGAATTTTGTTCATTTGAGAAAAAATTTCCATCCTGCTCCTTTGACTATTTTTTTGTCACTACGGTCAAAATCGATGATCGATTTGACCCCATCAACTAATAGAAAGTCGAACGAAAGATCTTTTGTATAAAGGTTCTTTTGAAAATCTACTAGTGTATAGCCACCTTTACCCCTACACTGGGGCTACCCCTGCACTGCAAGGATTAAAAGAACTATGGGGTAACCTTTTTATCCCATAGTTCTCTTTAGGGTCACAGGAGGACATATACTAAACTGCTCCCGTGACCCAAAGCTCAGTAAATAGCGGGCTATTGCCCTGATGGGACGGATCCCCACAATACTGTCGAGATCCAGCTGGCTGATTGACATCTAGAGGCAGAGCCAGCTGTGTCCGCCCCCTTTCCCATCCATTCCTCCAGTCAGTGCTGGAGGATCGGAGAGAGGAAGGGGGGGAATCCTTGCTGGGATCGGTGACTTACGGTTACCGTTCTTTGCAGGGAGATGATCGGGAAGTGAGCGAGCGCCTGTATGTGCTCCCTCACTCCCCAGTTTCAATGTCACATGTCGGCTCTAGCTATGAGGATAAGTGCAAATCACTCACCTCATAGTTCTGTCTAGGGGCTCAAATAAAGAAGATATTTGATATTGGCTGCTAGACTGGTCCCCGCAGCTTGTTCTCCCCTGTGCGTGAGGATGACACGTGACATTTCACAGCCGGAGCGGAGGGGGAGAAAGGAGAGCAATGACTACAGGGCCAAGGATCAGGTGAGTACAACTTCTTCTTTTGCGCCCCTTGCCCAAAATGAGCACTTAACCCTTGCAGTGTGGTGGTAGCTTCATAATTAAGTTTTAGATTGTGAGCTTTCATGGCCAGGGCCCTCTTTACCATCTTGCCTTGAATTGTATTCTAATGTTTTCCTCATATTGTAAAGCGCTGCGCAAACTGTTGGTGCTATATGAATCATCTATAATTATAATAATAATACATTGTTTGAGTGTGCTGGTTAGAATATATTTTCTTTATGTGCCTTTCATTCATCTCTGGGCTGTAAAGTGATATTGTTCAGCTGTACAGTTCATGCTGCGTCCACTTTGTGCATTTACTATTTCCATGTTATTGCTGATATCTCCAATCTGATGCCCTGACCTCAGTCCCTCTCATCATCACTTCTCTTGTCTTTCCCAGGCAGTTACTTTGCCAGCCACTTCATCATGGGTGGAGAAAAGTTTGAATCCAGCCATCCCGAGGGTTACCTGTTTGGGGAGAACAGTGACCTGAACTTCTTAGGCAGCCGCCCCGTCACGGTACGTACATGTGTGCTGTTGGTTCAGAATACCTCTTTCACCTTCGCCCGGGTTGGTATGTACATCTGTATAACCGTTTTGTATGGCAGATCATCATCACATACAATTGTTTAAGCAGTGGGCATCTACACATTTTCTATTGGCATTTCACACCTCCGCTCACTGTGCCCATAGAGCCCCGTGCTCCCTCCTATGCCAGTTTCGGGGGCATATTAGGATACCACCGCCTTCTTGGTGGAGGGACGGCACAGTGCTCACGCGTGTATGGCTAATCCTGCACACGTGTCATTAACTCTCGCTGTTACTACTGCACATGGAGGTGATATTAAGTCTTCTGCTCTTTTTTTTTTGTGTTTTACTCAGGATCGTTTAATTTAATAAATCATCACATCATGCATGCACACATACAGCTCGAGAATGTAATATGTGTCATTCATGTTGAAATGGTGTTACTATCCCCGCACTGACACAATCTGCTTGCCTCTTGCTGTCACATACAATTAACCCCTGCTGTCTTGATTACAGCGATTGCTGATAATTCATTGGTGCACAGTGTTAACCCAATTATGGCACGCAGGGTTGCTAGCTCATCTGTTATAAGACATGATGAAATATGCATGTCGCTGGCACTGGTCCACCTGCGGCGTCTCTTCTGTGTGAAAGGGTTGACATTTTATTATAGAATCTTTTTTTTTTTTTGAACAATAAGATAACAAGATAACATAATAAGATAACAATAAGGTTTTTGTATTTTACACACAGCTTAGTTCTGTAATTTTTTTTTTTATTTGGCATTTAACAGCGATATACTATTTCTGGATCAGTAGGACCAAAGTTGTCACAAATAGTATTTTATTATTATTTATATTATTTGTTTTATTTATTTATTATGGGCAGATCGTTGTTTGAGCCTATTGAGCCCAGATCGTTGATTGAGCCTATGATCTACCAGAACACCCAGATCTTTCTCCATCATTGACTCCCCCTAACATACCCCCCCTAGAGTGTATGACACATGCATGTTTTTAGCCCCCAAGTGCAGAACTTTACATTTATCAACATTCAAGGATGACAGCAGCTGTGTACGTGGTCGAGCAGGGGATCGGTAAGTATCATTGATATTTACCGATCCTCCTTGTGGGAAGCACAAACACTGGAGCGTTGGTCTGATCACTCCGGTGTTTGTAATTAACTGGGGACACATAGTACTATGTGCCCCCAGTTATGAATGAACAGGCTGTGATTTACATCACCTCCTGTTCCATCATGAATTTCTCAATGGGGAGAAGCACTCAAGTACAGAGGCTCCTCCCCATTCATAATCTGCTTGATAGTAAATATCTTACTATCAGCAGTTTCTGAATGAATGGGAAGTCTCTGTACTTCCCATTCACTGAGTGCTGAGGCTGCAGAAAAAGACATTGAGGACTCTGTGTCCCCTAAATATAAAATAATAATAAATAATGATTTAAAATGTGTAAAAAAAAAAAAAAAAAAAAAAAAAAACCACAAACCCCCCCCCCCCCCCCACCAACC